GTCAAATCACAAAGATATAAGGAAATCTCTGACAGGCTTGCACATTTTCGCCTCTTATACAGCAAGATGTCATGAGAACAAATGACATATTTCTGCATGGTTGTTTTTTTTTTTTTCCTTGCCTGGCATTCACATATCTGAAGACAATGGTAGTATCTGTTTAGAATACTATAAAATGTTGTTCAGAGTACTTCAGAGTATTTTAAAACTGCTTATGCGTTGTTTAAGACTGCATGTGTAAGTATAAGTTAAAGCACCAGTCCATTTCACAGAAGAGATGATTTATTTCATTCTGTCTTCCACAGTAACTTTCCATTCTGTCTAGGGTTGAACATTACCTTCCAAACTTGTCTTGATGGCTTTGAATTCAGTATTGGTCATATAAAACTACTTCTAGGATTCATACACATTGCTTTCCTTTTCTCATTAAGTATAGATAGCATCATACCTATTATATGTAACATTCAGAAGTGCAATGTAACACGGTACTCTTTAGTATTAAGCTAATTATCGATCAAGTAGCTTCACTGATGTCCATAGGCATGCTGTTTTCAGGTGATATTTTTTCTACACGAGTATATAACAAAAACTTCATAAAGTTTATTAAGTACATGGGGTTTTTTCCGGTGTATCACTGGGTTGATTTTAATGCAGTAAACCAGAATTATAGAGCATGAATGAGGCATATTTTCAATAATGCATTCTATAAATTCAGATAAATACATTTTTATCCTTTTTCATTTCTCCCTCATTCATTTAGTCCTATGCTAAGCTTCAGTTCTCTTTTGATTCTGTGAACATAGTTGTTTGTGGATCTGCACTGTATGTTTTAAATGATAGGGATAAAAAAAATGAAACACATGCATCTTTTGGAGAAAAGAGCATTGTCGATCTGTACTCTTAAGGTCTAAGCTGTTGGTACTGTTCATTTGCTTCCTTGCGAAGTGAATTAATTAAAAGACTTTTCATTTAAAAATGAGGAGGGTGGGGTTTTGTTTTGTTTTTTTAATCAAGTAATAGGAGCTATTTCTCCTGAACAAGGGAAATTTTGCAGCAAATTACTGCTGGGTTGGGAACACTCCAGAGAAAACAGCTGGCGACGTGTTTTAATTGTAATGAATGAGACCACAAGTGTACAGCCGGGTACACGTACAGTTGGGTTTACTTGTTGGGCAATGCTTTTCACAGGCATCCTTTCCATCACGATGCCAGGTGTATCTTACAAGTCCTTTGAATAGCCCTTAAATAAAAAGCAGACTGTAAAATTATTTGGATTTTGTAAGCTAGTATCTCCTAATGACTTAGAATAAAGTATTAAGGTAGCATTTTGTTTTACTTAAAATGGCCCACCAATAACAATAATGCTTCTTGAAAATAATTAAAACTACCTTCGTGTTTAATAGGTTACATATTATGCTTTATATTATTGGTATGTTTTCAGAATTTATTTCTTATCAGCGCGTTCCCATGACATTTCCTCTTGTAAAATACTTGACTCTTCCTCCCTCCGCCCCCTTTTTGTATTTACAAAGTTCACTTTAATTCTTCTGTGTCTATTCTGTTTAAAAAGAAGGGGAGAAAAAAGATAAAAATGTTGCAGGATTAGTAAGAGAAGATTGCAAGGCCTGCGCATAAATCCCCGGGCTTCCTGACAGCCAGTGGTGGGCTGCATCTGACACAAATGGTTCTGTTTTTTAAATCTTCTGTTTTTTTAACTATGCAAAAGCACCTCAGATTATTATTGCTGAAATATTTGTTTGTTTCCTGCTGCGAGCTGGGAATCCAGAATCGGGTGTGTGCATGTACCCTGTGCCTCGGGTTCATGCTGAAGTCCTGAGAGGGGCCCGGCTGTGGAGGGGAAGGACGCCCCTGCCCCGCTCTCCGAGGTGTCCAGCCCTGTGGGCGAGCCCTCCCGGGGAGACCTGGTGCCCCATGGGGAGCTCCACGCCATGCATTCCTCATCTTCCCGTCCCAGTCCCTAGGTGAGGTGGAGCTGTCACCCGTCTGCAGCCAGAGTGGGGCTGTGGGAAAAGAGGGGAGGAAGAAGGGAAAAGTGTACACTGGGGGGGAAGGAGGAGCGAGGGCTGTCTTGCCTTGCCTTTATCACCTCCCACTGCAGCTTCCAGCACAGATGAAGTTCTCCAGGGACGGACCCTGGCTTTTAACGAGGTCAGGCTGAGCGGGGGATGTATAGGAAGAAGGGTGTAATAACATGGGAGACTTCGAAGTACTTGCAGTGCTCATTGGTGTCGTGGGAGAGCTGGTAGTGGGTAAAGCCTTTCTTGATGTTATGTGGTGCCATTGCAAGGGCAGAAGAACCAGTGGCGTCACCAGAGACATCCATGTTGCTGAGCTCTGCATAGTGGGTGTGCATCCTTCATTACAGTCTGAATTACATGGTGCACTTGTTCTCTCTGTGCACCCCCTGAGCTGGGGAAGGACGCTCCATGGCTTCATGGGCATTGACTGGCACAAAAAGGATGGATGGGCGTTGGGCAGTGAAGAGTGGAGGCGTAGTTGGTATTGATGCAAAAATGTATCTGCAACGAAGGTGTCACTAGGATCAGGGGAATGGATTGTCTTTGTGCTGTTGGAAAGTGTAGGTTCTGTGCTCTGAGTGAAACTTTGACTTTTATAATCCCTGCAAAGGTGAAGCAACAGGGAAGAGAAGATGGAGACAGCTTCTTAGTCTTTAGCTGAGGCACTATATAGGGGACATATTAGTATCTTTATATTAGTATTAAACATTGATGAAAATCTTGATTTGCACACTTACAGAACATATTTTTATGAATTTGACTTTGAAACTAAAAACCCCTTTGGTTTTGCCTTGAAGTTAGGAAGATGAGTCAATAGCTTCTCTTACTGCTTTTTGGTTTGTTGCCTTCCTCCTCATGGTTTCCACTCATCCTTCTGCCCAGTTTCTGCTTCCCACTGTTCTTCCTTTACTCTCTTTTTGCTCCTAAAACTGAATGTTGCCTGACCAGAGAGGATTTTTTTTTTCTTCACAACTGTATAGCTTTTACCTGCCTGTCCCTCATTCTTTCTGTTTGATTTAGATAAAGTCCTGTGCACACCTGGGGCTGGGAACTGGCAGTATTTGTGCTTGGTTGCTGAGAGGTGTAAAGTGTTAACTTTCTCACTGCAGATGATGAAGAAAAAATCATGAGTCTTTGTTGTATTAAGGACAGTTTTAATGTTGTGATCAGAAACTTAAGTGGAGAGTACCATAAGGCTTGATGTGGATAGGGAAAACTTAAATTTCAGTAGGTTCTGGATCTGCTGTCCTCACAAAGATATAATGTTTGGTATGATCATTCCTCTTTGAAATAGTTCTGTCACTGTAAGTGACTCCCCAGTGAAAAAGCAAAAAAAGGAGGAGGAATGGAGTTTTAACGTCTGAATGCAGTAACACATCATCTTGCGGTTAAAAATGACCAATTATTTCACTGAAATAGTCTGGGAACAATTTCTCTTGCTGGCTTTACTAGGAAGTCAGCTGTTTTTCTGAAATGCATCCTAATTCCCTAAATAGGTAATAAAATTCAAACAATATGTTTATCTAGTGTATTTGAAAAGATTATTTTTTTTTAAAATGGTGGCTAAAGAATCACTGTGCCACATGTGCAAGGGATGAAGTGGCTTGTCCTGTTTTGTACAGGCAAAGATTGTTTCTTGTTAAATTTTGGGGGATATGAGTGTGAAAATAAGAAATAGTTTGGCCATGTGTGTTTGGATCACTGTTTGTTTAGTTTTTAGGGTTTTGTAAAGGGTATGTAGATATTCTTGAGTGTAACACTCAACAGATTTCTTATCAGTTAACTTAACCAGTCAGTTCATCATCTATTTCTTTACCCGATTTTGACAGTTGGGATATAATGAGCTGATTCTAAGAGACTGAGTTAATTCAGTGGATAGCACACTTAAGTTCTTGTTCTGAAGACATGACTCTGATAAAGGCTGAGCTGGTAAGTAACTGAAGGTCAGTAACTGAAAGGCTCAGCTGGTAAGCCTGAGTTGAGGAGTTCAGAAATTTGTTCAGGAGGCCTAGAATTTCTTTTACTTAAAAGGTGGCAAAATATTCTGGTGTTTGTGTTCTTGGGGAAAAATATTAAAGGAAAAGGCTTGAGACCCAACTGGGTGGACATTTAACTTACCAGGTGTATCTGAACTAAATAAAGAGAGTAATAACGGAAAAAAGGATTTGTCAGCAAAGAATGACTTAGAGGTCAAGATATGCAGGTATAGCATTAAAGTTGCAAAAAATAAACTCTCTAATGTCTTGCAGCCTTAAGAGTTTTTGGAATGTTTTCCCATTTCTTGCCCTCCTTTATGGGTTAATACTTTTATTATGTTTCTGCTGACATCCGCTATAGCCTTTTGACTTACATTTGAAGGCAGTTTTGAGCAAGGACTCTCACCATTATAACAAGATTCAAAGCTTGCTTATAAATCAGTCATCTGTCATCACCTGGGAGCTTGTCCTTGCAAAACATAAAGCCAAAGAGCTGCTAAACCTAAACATTTGGCATAAGTAACGCATTTCTTCTAAAATGTTGACTTCCAAATTTTTACCTGAATATTTTTCATAGTTCTTGCAAATATTTGTTGCTGCACTTTAATAGGAGAAATTCAAGATTTCTCTTTGTGGTTTCTTTTTGCTCCTCATGTGCTAAAGTAAATTTTGTGGCTGATTTCAGAATTCTTTGGTTTGAGACTGATCTTTGCACGTTTCAGGAAAATCAGTTTGCCATATTCCCTTTAAAAATTTATTTTTTAAATACACGTGACTCAAGACTTGGGTTCTTTTCCTTTGTTTTTTACCTGCTCTTGACCTGCTGCTCACTTTAATCTGTACCTCATTTAGTGACTACCGATTTCAGTGAAGTACTCTATAAGAACAATACATTATCACTACAACTTATATCCAGATAATGGACTAATCTGGTCTTAAAATATAACGTTGACCAGGATGCACTTTTTCTTTGTTTTCTTTTCAGCCCAGTCACTGAAAGAATTTGCTCGGCTCCTGATTGCTGTTGAAGAGGAGAGGAGACGACTGGTAAGTTTGCTGGCAATAATATGTTGCATTTGGCCTCTTTTTGTATAAAATAGTACTTTTTTTTCTATTCTTCCTGAAGTGCTATTTTTATTTGTGTAGTAGATGTTAAGTATTTTGTAAGAATCACTTGATTCTGCAAAGGCAGAAATGTGCTAGCACAGACTACAGCAATTTCTAATGGACTGTTCAGACAAATACTTTTGCATCAATTTAAAAACTGTTTTCTCACAACTTTCTCCATCCCCACTCCCCACCCCAAAATAACCTCTGAATGCTGCTGTACCTTTCCTTTCTCCCATCTTGTCTTACTATAGTTGGAAGGCACAGCAACAAAGTAAACCATAAACAAAGAGCTTATAGTGGAAATGTAGATCAGTATTTATATTTAATTAACTACTTTTAGAGCATTGTCCAGGGAATGTATACTAATAATCCAAGAATATGGTAAGTAAGTGGTAAGAAGAGAAACTGAATTCATCACCTCTGAGAAACTCTTGCAGAGTACATCAGACTTGTCAGATCTGGCCTTTGTTATGGTATTCTTATTCCCTTTGTTTCCATACTGATGAATCTACAGTATGCTTTCATTTATATTTCTATTCAGATGTAGTTAAAGAAGTTTTATGTATATTCTTGTCCAAATGTTTTTAAAAAAAAAAATCCATATAAGCAATGAAGTTTTATTTTTTCTTCCTTGGAAGTCAGTCATCAGTAAAGAATTGAGGTAAGGATTAACCTCAGTAGGGGAATTTTTAAATATTGTGAAAGTTTAACTAGCTCAAATCCATCCAATGACTGCGTCTGTCCTTGTTTTCCTTCCACTTATTAGTACTTAGGGAGGTGAGGAAAACGATACTTTCTGACTCAGATTGAAGGAAACTTATTAATCCAGGAAGAGGAATACAGAAAGTTCTATTGTTTCTAGGAGTAAAAAACCATAGAATTGGTCTTCTGCTAATTCTGTTTAAATAAATATTTTAAAGTGGCAAAATCATAAACATTTATATGGTATAGTTGCATAGTTATGTCACCTAAACCTATAAAAGTACACAATTTTTCCTTCATGCTAATTATTTTTTCTTGGGTAGAGGAAGAGTGAGGTGACTGTTCAGTACTTACCACCCTAAAAGACGTTTACCATAACACTTACTAATTACTTAGTTAAAAATGTTTCAAATAAATACCTTTCCAGTTTAGGCTAAAGATTGTTCTGAGCTAACTATTAGAAAAAGGAAAAGCAATGAATAGGTGAAGGTTTTATTTTTCAAACAGGTTAGTCTTTCATAATATGTATATGTAGTTTCCCTTTATTTTATCTTCCTGTTTCTTTTTTTTCCTCAGAGGAGTGTCATGAATAAGTGACTTTACACAATTTGATTTAGTAGCAGTTTAGAATTTATTTGTGCCTTTATGGCAAATGACAGGATTGGATTGTGGTATTTTAATAGCACTCAGTCATCAGTCGATTAACAAGGTGATTCAATAAAATTTGTTTAAATCAAAATAGCAACTTAGTTAAAGATTTTAAAATGGCAAGGTTCACTCCATTACTGCATGGAGGAAGTACACAAAGGAAAATTCAGTTACACTCGAGTTGGAATGGTTCACAGAGACCGTGGATGCAGAGGATAAGGAGGACCCTTCCATTGAGTCACAAGGTTCAGAGCAGACCTCCTTCCTGACCCCCTTCTCAGAGAGGAGTCGAGGTACGGCTAGGTCCAGTCTTAGTCTCAGACTTGGTCAACAGTTTAAGTCTAAGGATAATATGTGCCTAGCAGCAGTCTAAGATTTATTCACAGTTAAGGTGGACCACAAGATTTTTAGCAGCACTTAATCATTGACTAAATTAACATTCACAGAGTGAGTCAACTATAATCACGACAGACTCACTTTTGTGATTATACAGAGAATCCCTTTTTCACTTTTAGAAGTTTCTGGCCTTTCTGTGATTCATAATTTGATCTTTTCATGTAATGTTTTACTTCATATCTTGTAGGAAGGCCATTAGAGTAAAAGGGGGGAAAAAACCATTAATTTTATTACGTGGAAAAAGACCAGTTGCATGGAAAGATGCTTTTTGTTCTATTTCAGTATGACTTCAGTGGGAATGCATGGATTGTATAGCTGAGCTGTTGGATCCCAATGCAGGGTCAAAGACTTGGGTGAGATTTTGGTCTCACAGAAAAATATTTTATAAATGGCTCTAAGTTGTAGTAGAATGTGATCATCAAATCATTGTAAACAAAGTGGCAAATACTATTCATGCGTGGAGAAGCTGCTCTTGATGAGAAATTATTTGCGTCCAGCTTTTTGCTGAGAAGCCCCATGCTGTTTGTTCTTCAAACTGAATGCTCGTGCTGAGAGCATCAACGGCACACAGTTGTCATGGTAGTGATATCTGAATAAGAAAATTCAGTAAACTTTGAATTTATCTGTTTTTAAAAAGTTTGATCTGCTCATTGGTGGAATTTATTTAATTATTATTGGAATTAAACTTCCTAAAATACTTGTTCCTGGTAGAGCCAAATGCAAAAATGAGAACCTGAGGCATGAAAAAATACATCTAGGATAAACCAGTCCCATGTAGATCTCTACATGGTTACTGTGCCCATGCTATTCTTTAGGGATAAATTTTCTAAATGAAAAAGAGAGTTTGATTGCCTTTACTTCTGTATAAAAAACTTGCAACAGTTTAAAAAAAAAAAAAAAAGCTTGTTCTTTTTGACATTTTGTAGAAGGCTTGGAAAATAGCAGCTACTGTTCAGACTATTTATGGATACAGTTCAGCATGCCATTTACAAATTCCTTTTAATTCTTGAAGTGTGTGGCAGTTAAAGACAATACTGTATCAGTGAATGCTGGATGTAATGGAATATGGAATGACAGATGTTAATTTTACTTAGCGGCTAATGATCTTGTTTCCTTGCCTTGAATTTTATATTATTAACTTATGGGCATGCATATGAGTGCATGAATTGGTTTTAAATGTGGAAAGTATATATTCATATCACCAATTTATTTCTCATCTGATGCCTATTAAATTCTTCATAAGTAAAATTACTTTTTTGTTTTGGTGAACACAGAGAGGTGTCTTGGAGTGCTTGCCCACTGAATGTATGAACTAAGTGTTTCCAGTGGTCAAGGAAGTTGTTTGAGAGGTGCTGAGCAAGTCTTCTGTCCTTCTTGCATAAAGAACCAAACGGAACTAGGTTTCATTTTCTTTAGAAGAAGCTAATGAAACAAGATACTATGAACAGTATTACTGGGACAAACACTGAAGTGTAAGGTTAAATAAAACTGTGTATCACATAAATATTCTGTTGTGTCAAGCTTTCCAGTCATTATTATTGGCAGCAGTAATAATATGGTGTTTATTCTAAGTTAATTTCTTTTATTCTTGTATTTTATTTTTTTGATGCTAAAAAATTGACTTGCAGTCTTAGAAAAAACAGAGGTCAGGCATCAAAAATTTCCCCTTAAAAAGCAAATAAAGAAAAAAGTAACTTGTAAGATACTTTTTTTATGATATACTGCCTTATGTTTGATAGCTGTTATTTCATGGTGGCGTTAGTTTAATGATGCTGTTGGTAAACAGTGCATTAAAAAAAACCAAAACAACCAAGCACCCTGACTCTTGGGTTACAAGTAGCATACCAGTAGGATATAAAGTCAGATTCATCCCTACTGCCTTTCCAATGACTTCAGCAACAAGCCACCAGGCAATGTAAAATGATGACCTCTATTTCCCAGTAATTATTAGGGAAAAATAGAGATGCTATGATTTAATTGCATGTGAATATTTGGTTCCATAGCAAGGGAACTTACTTAAAACAATTTCCTTCCACTCTTGCTGAATTTACATTGTTTCTGTTAAATAGGTAATGTGCTTTTTTAATTTTAGAGATTCTTGCGTTATTTCTGTATCCTATTCATTTGATATTGTTAGTAAACTTTATAACAAACGGAAGTGTACTGGGAGCAATATAAAATACTAATTCCTCTTCCTTTCATAGTATTATGCTGTGTTGACAATGAGAATAGATTAATTGGTTCATGCTGCTGATTTCCTTTTCCTTGAGATCCCCTATCAATTTGAAGCATTGAATTTGTTCTCTTGAGTGTTATCTTGAACGTAAGACCCTGATTATTTCTGAAAGTTTACTAAAACCCAAACTGAAATAGGCCTCTTAGCTGTTACATTCCTTGCTATTTACCCAAGTTTTTATGCGTTGCTGGCGAGTGATTAACGGTCCCAGAGCTTTTTCCTTTGCATTGTGAATCAGTGAGATGTGTATGTACTTTGAATTCCTGACCAATATTAAATACTTCAGGGGATAGTACAAAAATTCTGCCGTGGGTAGTTGGGTGCTCTGCTCGATGAGTATTTTTTTTCTTTCTAACATCTGTCTCTTTGTATCTTAAAATCTTCATGCTTCAGAGAGTATCTCATTGTTGTGGACTTTTTTTGTATTAACTGGATGTTCTCATTGTGGTTCTGTATTTGCCCTCACACAAGGGGTCTGATGCTATCTGCTTCCAGGGAAGGCATCAAAATACTCTGTTTCAAAAGCTGCACTTGAAGAAAAACAAATGAACTATTAAAACCAGATATCCGTGGAATGGTACATAAAATCAGATACTGAAGGACACAGCATGTTGTTGAGCAGAATTAACCTTTTCCCTATAATGTGAAATGGGTTACAGATTCTATCACAAGAATAAGCAGTCTTCTATCCACAGGTGCTGCTTATTACTCATTTTATAAAGGGGAGAAATCACAAAATCATATATACTAGCACCCAGAGACTACAGAGAGTATACCTGGCATTTTGGTTCTCATGGTCGCACTCTTGAAATGACAAAAAAAAAAAGTGTATGATGGTGTTTTCATGTACTTGGTAACTGGTTTCGGTGCTCTTCACTTCCCATACCAGTTTTGGTATTTAAACTAATCTCTTTGGTAGGAACCTGCAATGAGACTGTCTAAAAGCATATTACTA